GCACTATCTTTTCGCAGCCTCCGCTCATTTCATTCAAACGCGACAAAAACTTAGGCAATTTTTTGGTCAGAAGTTCTTTTCAGACTAATGAGCAACCAGGCACTTTTAAATGCGCTCGTGCACGATGCAAAACGTGTCCTTTCATTCACAACACTGATAAAATATCGGGACCTAAACGATCCATTAAGATCACCGATCACTTCACGTGCACCTCCGCTAATGTAATCTATTGCATAACTTGCACTTATTGCAAAAAGATATACATCGGCGAAACAGGCAGAAGACTAGGTGACCGATTCCGAGAACACCTTCGAGACGTGGAAAGGAATGACAAGGACACATCGAAACCAGTCGCTAGACATTTTAATTTACCTAATCATTCTAAGCAACATATGGCAATCTGCGGTCTTTCCTTGCACTTAGGTGGCACGGAAAGCCGTAAAAATCTTGAACAAAAGCTCATCTTTCAAACCGGCAGTCTAAATCCCACAGGGATCAATGAACGCTTTTCATTCCACTAATTTATTCATGTTTTTCTCGTTGCCATGCACCCACCAATAACGTAGCTCCATTTTCTGCCTTTAAAAGCACACACAACCCACAATTCCTCTATTCGCTCCGACGAAGGGCTAACGCTCGAAACGTCAGCTTTTGTAATCATTACGGTGGCCAATTTACCATTTCAACTTTGTTGATATATCCAAATTATTTCTTTCATTTTAGTTTGGGGCTAGTACATCCGCCCCTGTAGTTAGCAAAGGGAAAATTCAGAAATTTCTTCATTCAGTTCTCAATTATCCAATTTTCTCTTCGAAAAATTTTTAGACTTGAATATTTTGGGATTTTTCGTTTAAACTTAGCCTACGATCTAGTAGACACGAATTCCTCTTCCTTTTGGGGGAGAGCATCTACCCAGTAAGCAATATTTCCTTTATCCCCGTGTCGCTATTTAAATGAGGATTTTATCTTTAACAATGATTACACTTTTACATACCGTTGTAAGTCAGTCCACCACTGAGCCTGATAACAATTGTTGCTCTCCTGAGAGTATGGCTGGTCAACAGAGCAACATCTAGCTGCCTTAATTACACCTGGTCCTGTTTCTAACAGGGCACCATACCCCTCGCTTCTCAGTCCATTGACATAGTAGACATTATTCGCGCATTGAGAAGTAGAGTCACCAGCGATTGCAAACGTGCTGGTCCAGTCTTCATTTCCACATTGACCTCTCGTTGGATTGCTCCATGTTAACAGCAACAGTAATTGGAGAATCACAATAATAAGGACTTGCATAGTTGTCAATTTTGGATCTGAATTTAGTTTCAGAAAATGTTGAGGGGAAAATGTGAGAATGGTAGAACAAAACAATAGAAAAAGCACTAATAGCTTTTACCGAGCAATTATCAATTTTTTTTTCTTACCAGCATTTGATTGTTATCACCAAGGAGTTGCAAACGATGCCAAAATTAAAGCTCTTTGGGTAGGGTCCCTTTTGCTCCCTCTAAGCATCATATTACTTCGCAAACTGTCACACAATTTGCGAAGTTTTGTTTTTAACTTTGAGTTCTCATTTTCTAACACTGGAAAAAAAAAATTCCTTTTCCTGAGCTAATGGCCCAATATCAATTACTATTAAAGAAATATAGGAGAGACGTTTGATAGATTCTTTCTTCGTTGCGTGAGAATATACTTGACATTCTTGATTTCCTCGAATACGAACTTATCTTCCGTAAGGTTGGGCTAATAAGGCTTTGTTACCGGCCACAAGAGGATTTAAAGACCGGATTTTCTTGGATTTTGAATGCTTTCCCGTGTCTGAAAATTTTTTCGGGTCAGTATTTTAGGTGTAGTCAGTCACAGTTTTCCCATCATCACATCCTCTGAGGATCTGTTCAGTAGTCCGCGCAAGAGACTCCCGATCAATAGTCTACCAGATGAAACGGACCGCTCGTATTCGAGCATCTGTTGCATGACAGCAAGTAAACAATACCGAGAATTCATTCAACAGCGATTTCGTTAAATTTTGAGTTTCAGATTTAAATAAACAACGCCGTTGACAGAGTTTAGTTGTGCACAAATTCAAGAGTGCGAACGATTCCGTTCGCCACGCTACTTTGAACCGCCGAAAAAAAGCAATCTAAATGAAATGAAAACGATAGAAATCATAAAGTAGTTTCTTGTGCAATCACACTTCCCCTAAAAACCATTAGTGCACGGAATAACTTGACTTCTTAGAGAAAAACAACATTTATTAAAAGAAACTCAAAACCTGGCGAACTACTGAGCTGATCCTTCATCCCATTTCTTTTTTCCTTTCATATGTTCGAGGTGAAAGCGTTCACTTGAAATTGTAAACACTGCCAAGTGACGAAAATCTGACTAAAACTAAAGCGGTACCTTCCCTATTTCAAAGTGGATTTGGTGGACTGATAGAAAAAAATCCGTACTCACTAGACAGTAAAAAAAAAGATCGAAACGTTTTGAAATCATAGCCATCATACCTATTTCAGAGAAGTCTGAAATGTTGTCTTCAGCCCCTTAGTAAGTTAGTTTTAGATAACAAGATCAAAATATTATCTATAAATAAAGTGGAGAGAAGTAATCCGTACCGGTAAGGACACGAGGTATGGCAGAAGACAAGCAATGTTTGAAAGAAGACCTGGATGTTCTTGAGCTTCACTTGGCTTACGATGTCAGTGAAATCGAAACCAAGTTTCTTGAATTCTTGGCGTGTGGGCGAGATTTTAATCACAACTGGCCAAGCCTATGATGTAGATCATTCCTGAGGATAAACACAGCAGATTAGGATGCATTATCATTACAAGCTCCTTTTCGCCCATTTTACAAATGACAGACAGCGCATAGATGACTCATATTTGACCACTGGATTTTAGGTGACAAATTAAATATATCTTCGCTTATATTAAAAACTGCAATTGATCAAAGGCAGAAGGTAAGTAATTTGGACTATTGCCTTTAACAAGGTTACAACCATCCTATATAACAGCTGAAGGCTTTTACGAACTCAGCTGCCTATCTTTGAAACATCTGGCTTCATTTCATCGATATATTAATTTTAGAGTTCAAGTTTAAAATTGACACGCAAAAAAAACAAAAAAAACTCATTATATGTTTTGTCTTTGATTGGTTACAGTTTTTTGGCCACTTTCCCAATCAGGATGAAAATGATAAATAATACCCGGACTTTGCCTGAAGAGGAACTCGATTCTTTTTATATAGAAACAACAAAGATTCTATTTACAATTCTTCGTTGTAAACGGTATTCTTAATTAGTGAGTCATGTTAGGAGCTAAATAAAGTAGGTTTACCCTAACTCTTGACAAGCAGCAGAGGCCTCTACCACACTGTAGATGAGAAGTTTTTTACTTTTACTTTAAAATATGTTACCTATTCACCTTGTTCAAAAAAAATTGATATGATGATAGTATTCTGGAATTTATCATCCAGCAAACAATATTTTCGGGTCAACTGACTTTGCCAAGACAAGTTCAAGATGTTCAAATTTCACTGCTTTAATGAATAATTGCACGTTATAAAGTCAAAGGAAGTCTCGCCAACATTAGTTGTGTTGCCAGACGAGCGAAATGAAGTGAAGGTATTTTAAAGCTTTAAAACTGGCAACGGACAAATTTTGAGGGTATGTCTCTTTCAATTTTAACTTTCAATACCTTTATACTGCATAGTAGATAAGGTTATATTTAAGGGAACCTTCCGCAAAACACGGAATTAAAAACGCAAACCCCCCTGAGAGTAGCTCTTTAGGTAAATTGTATTCCATAAATTGCACTCATCTCAGCGAATAGTATAACCCATCGCATTTTGATCTAATTATTCAGCCGGTGCTCCTTTGGATGAAGTGCTATCTGAACAGCTTCCTACTCCATCCCAGACAGGCCGATTCTTCGATGGGAACTAAAGTTTTTATTGAAAGCTTTTACAAGAAGTTATTTCCGGCTGGTCTGTTATTGCAATCAAGTTACAGTTTCAAAAAAGAAATTGGCCAACAAGGTTACGTTTGGAATAACACTCAATCGTGCAGTGTCTTAGGTGACCCAAATAACAAATTGGACACAACGAAACTAGGATTTTACTTTTTGTCGCTTGGCATCTTTAGCCTCATGCGCGTGCGTTTACTGGCGGAATTCCCAATCCAGGTGGTTTTCAAAACCGCTCACGAAACTCTCTGTAGTACAAAAACCTCAAAATATAGTTTGTAGTGAGACTTTTACGATATTTTAGCAGCTAGTTTTTAAAACAATTATTGGAACAGGCAAGAGATTCCTTTCTGCTAAGCAAAGACTAAAACGAACGGTGCGAGATAGCTATAGCTGCGAACTGGTTGACCTCAGCTCAGCATTCTGACAATACGTATCACCCTTCCTTTAGTCGCTCATGATTTTCTTTGTCCCTCCATGACCAACAATTAGATTTTCTATTCCTTCCACTGATCTTACACCTGAAACTATACGTTTGGTTTCCCTTTTCCATTTGCTAACATATTATTTTTTCCTCAAGATCAACAGCCAGCTCAAGAGTTAAATTGAAGAATTAGAGCCAAAACTTTTGTCACGCTTCTTTACAAATTAATTACATATGAATCAACTTATCAGTAACACTAGTTTAAATACAAGAGTTTATTTAGATTATTGTAATCAGTATGGGGTTTTAAGGAAAAATAATGCCATAGACCCTGTTCCTAACCCATGAGTCCTTTCACTTCCACACCCTACCTCAGATAGCGTTCTTGGCTAATCAATTGATCCATCATGAACTGAGTCGCTTTGTAAGCCCTTCTTAACAGAAATAACATAAAATTGTTAGATGCAACATGATTCAATAATGTTTCCCAAAAGAAAAAAAGTCGAAAGTTGCAAATGAAGTCATGTATTACGAGAACAAAATGATACACAAGGCTTATTAGAATGTTTGCCACAATAACCGACCACAACCATTACACCTTGGTGTCTTTGTTTCGTTCTGTATCGTTCTGCTTTGTTTAAGCTTTTCTTTTTTTCCCCAACGTAAGGCGGTGAGATAAAGGTTAATAATTTCCGCCTTCACTGCGCCGCCTTGGGGAAACAATAGAAGTTCTCATTCTTGGCAGACTATTTCAGAAAAGGTAAACATGAGTATCGGTAATAAAGAGACATTATTTGAATCATCATCTATTGAATCGAAAGCTCCGCAAGACAATTCTAGACATAATCGATTAAAGCGTTTATCCCACACAAAATTGCTTTGCTTTGGAAATAGACGCATAAGTTTATCTTGACATCACAAAGATAGTAACAAACGCGAGGCCGTAATCTCGTCTCACGCTTATGTCTGTTAAGTAACTTTCACCAGACGGACTAAAAGGGGAAAAGCTCCTTTCATCATACGTACTGGGTAAGGTCTACAGGGATTTTACAATACGTTCTAGTTGCACGTGTCCCAGCGCGTGGACTGTGATCACCAGATTGATTTCGGCCAATCAAATACGATGATAAGACTAATCTATCACAAAACGGTGAGTAAAATACCGTATGTTCAATAGACGTGCTTGACGTTGTTTTCTGGGTTGCCCTTGAGTTTCGAATAGACTTGTTTGTTTTTTTTACGCATTGATGCTCATTGCATGGTCTTCCGCTATTTTGAGGCTCGCACATGTCTTCCACTGACGAATGACGACACTCGCATAAGTGAGAATTTTGATTACACAGCCGTTTTTTGGCGAGTATGAATAAACGGTGCTTCTGTCGAACTGTTGATGTTAACGCGTACTTTTCAAGTAAAGGCTGTAGTGTGGGAGCCGGTGGTGCAGTTTTTCATGGGGACAGATAACCTCCAATTAATTATGTTTTCTCATCACTCAAGCTCGGGAAACACGGTCGAGCGCAAGACATTAAGCCGTGGCTTATTGGCAAACTTTGCGGAAAAGAACCTTGGCTGTTTCATTTGGCTTTATTTTTAATTTTTGAAGCTACCACGAGAAATTTTTCCACAGTAGGCATGGAACTTTGTGAGAAGAAATCAGTCAAAACGACGGGATCGGTCATTTAATGATACTATCCGGGAGCTTCACGAAAATAATAGCAGCTTAGGGACTGGTTATGATTTACCGCCTGCGCATTGGGAAAGGGGTAGGGGGATCGAAGGATTTTGGTTGTGTCACGATAAATTTTTACCTTATCCTCCCTAAGATTCTGTAGTACTCTATTGATCGTCCTTAGTTGGCATTCAATTTTCGTTGGTCCTCCCCATTAAGCTCCATTAGCAATGATTGATCGCCCTGCCGTTCCTCCGTAAAAGGTGTGATTCCTTCTGACACCCTCTCCCCCAGCAGAGAGTAAGAGTTTATTTTCATACCTTATTATTCTGGTTGTTGATTTCCCTCTGGCTAGCAAAATGACTTGTGTTTTCCAATAGATGGCAGCTACACACAACTCAAAGATTTTATCCTTAACTCTGTTTGTCTGCTATGGCTGTAAGTACTCAATTACCTCTCCTATTTCGCTCTCACAAGCAATAAAACTGATGATTCAAATTACTATTTATTAAGTTTTCATTTTTAAAGATGCTATAGTTGTAGTCAGGCACGATGATAAATAAAGAGTTTTTGTGTTGTTACTAACTAAAAAACTTTGGATGAGGACGTTTCGGTTATAATACTATAACCTTCTTCATCAATAAAATGGCTACGAAAGAAAATGCGTGCTTTAAAAAGAGCCGCAGAAGTGGTGGTATAGATATGTCGACGATAGTCATGTAGGCATTGCTCGTGAACATCTTACAGAGTTCCACTCCCATCTTAACTCAATCAACACATCAAATTTACAGTGGAAGAAGCAAAAGACGCTAGTTTTTATAGTTCCATCGCATTCCTGGACACCATGACAACCAAGAATCCCGATGGAACTCTAAAAACTAGCGTCTACAGGAAAACCACACACACTGACAAATACCTTCAATTTAACTCTCACCACCCTTCTCAACATAAACGCTCAGTAGCTAGAACCCTTCTCGACAGAGCAAAGAAAATCCCTTCTACCGACGCAGACAGATTATCCGAAATACAACACGTGGTCGACGCCCTGCCAAAGCACCACTGGGTCTAAAAATCAGTCTCAAACCAACAGAGGTTTTGTCACCTTGCCATATCTTCAAGGAATTTCAGAAAAAATTGCAAGAACTTTAAATCAATTCAATATCAATGTTGCCCACAAATCCGTAACGACCGTTGGCTCCTTTTTAAAAAGGACTAAAAACAAATTTAGTGAAGACTCATCGACAAGAGTAATCTATAAAATCAGTTGCAAAGATTGTGACGGAGTTTATATCGGTCAAACATCAACAGCCTTAAGATCCAGGATTAAAGAACACAAGAGAGCGATTTTCACGGGAGATAAAAATTCTTTATAAACCCAACATTGTATAAAATACAATCATTTGACCTTGAGGACGTCAAGATCATTGACCGCTGTTCCCAATGGTCGAAAAGATTATTTTTAGAAGCGTGGCATTCAATTTGTGAACCGAATGCCATTAATGAACACATTTACATTCCTGACATTTAAAAGGCCTTTGGCAATCCCAAGTGACGTTTCTGCGGCTCTTTTTGAAGTACTCTTCTGCTTTCGTAGCCATTTTATTGCTGAAGAAGGCTATAGTATTTTAACCGAAACGTACTCACAGAAAGATTTTTAGTCAGTGACAACAAAAAATCTTTTGATTAAGTTTCCATATTGCTCAAAAACAATTTTCAAATCTCAGCTGATCTGCAGTCATTTTCTTGGGCGTTATTTTAGTAATGTTAATTGACAGGTCAATAGGAAAAACTCGAAACCACGAAGCTAAAACATGGGTATTAACTGCAGGAGAGGAATTTATTTATATATTGTTTTCCTTTTTTAAGGGGGGTGCAAGGCTTTTTTATTTACATGTATCCTCTGATTGTGAGGAAAAAGAGCGACGATAGTGAAGCAAAAAAGAGGCATAGTCGTGTGTCTAACGAGCTAGTGGATACGCTAAATATACTTGTGTAAATTACATCATTACTAACCAATTTGGCTGTGTATTCTAACATCAGTACCTTTGCTTGCTTTCCACCAAACTATCAGTTCTTTGGACAAAGCGTGCTGTAGAAGCTAATAACGTGACTCTGGTAAGGTGAAAAAAACTTTGGATACGGGCTAAGTAGAAGTACAACAGGTTTCATAGGAATTTTTGTTTATGACCCTTCCCCTTTGTCAAAAAAGGGTTTAGCTTGAATTATGAGAATAACAAAAACAGCCTAGCCTACCCTAAATCATGAAGGGCGCATGGATGTTAACAGCATTTGCTTGACCTATTTAATGTGTTCCGGATACTTTTCTCACTCCATTACAAAATGCAAAAATTAAACTAGTTTCATTTTGAAGATCACAAAAACTTTCTTTGGTTTTTCAGAACCAAGAGGTGGACGTTAGTGCATTTCGTTCAAGGTATCAAGGTAGGAAAACACAGCATTATTCAAATTCTTTCCATGATATTAAGGTATTAATTGGTGCCAATGAGTAAATACTGATGAAACACCTCAAGCAGATGTCAAGATTAATTGATACCGCTAAATGCATGTAAAGACGTTGAACGTATTTTTTTAGTTCAACAGTCGTTTTTGTTAGCGAAGAAGGTGAAATCATAGCTTCAACTGTAATACAAGTCGTATCCGTTAAGATGTTCTTTCTATCACACTTTGTAGTAGACGTGGCACTTTGTACCACCTGTTACACTCAGCAAAAATATTTTCCGGCCCTACAGACCCGACGTTCGCTATTGTGGACACTGCCTTGTTCTTTGGACAGTATTTATACAAAGTCTATTATAGTTACAAAGAGCCACAACCGTGCAACAGCTTATCATAGTTTTATTACAAAGCCTGTGATGGCAAGTTATTCAAAGTGCGAAAATGTTTTATTACTACTAGTACAGTGCGTCAGTTGTAAAAGAACTATGTTTGGAGTTTCTTCTTTGTGATGTCTTCTCTTCCAGGCATCTGAAAGCGAAAATTTTTCCAGTTTAAGAAGATGGTCTATCTTCGAGGGTGTCCTGCGCCACACACAATTTCAAGTGTAACTTCCATAGACTATATATCAATGGAAAGATTATGAAATGTGCTATTCGGAAAAAATAAGTTCCATTCTTGCTTGTTCCAATCGTATACCGACCGAAGATCGAAAATTCGAAACTGAAGGTGTTTCTTTGAGCAAATTAATCGGCTCTCAAATCTAACTAAACAAGTCAAATTTCTGCAATTCTGCACCTCTGCTTCTTTGAAGAAATAACAAGTCTTTGTATAGACGGTCTTATTTATGACTATTTTTAATGTTTTTCCCAAATGATATTTTAAAGATATTGTGTTGAGCAATGTTTCTGTGTAGGTGTGGCTCCGGAAAACACCCTCATGAGCCTTACGTGCCGCTTGCAAAAAAAAAAAACAATAAAAGTCTCTATAGAAACTGAGCCCTCCGCTAGTAAGAGCTTAATTTACGGGATTTTTTTTTTTTGTTTTTTTGTTTTTTTTCCTTCTTCTTCTTATTTGATTAGGTAGTTGTGATAGTCTGAATTCAAGATTTTGTCAGAATGGAGGATGCAGTAATCTGGGGAGCAGATACTACTGCGATTGCATCACTAAATATGGTGGACGGAACTGCGAAATAGGTTGGCAAAAAGTGAACACGTGACAAGTAGATCTAAATTTGCCCTGTCTCCGCTTAATTGAGATCACAGGTGCCTCAGGGTGTAAGTTCTCGCGACATTAACAGATACATGTAGTTGGACTGAGTGCTATCCAAAGATATGTTTTTGCATAGGTGTATTAATGGTCTCCAAGAACTCTCCCTCTTTCTCCAGTTTGACTCAATCTAACAATTGTTCTTTTAATGTCTCACTTACACGTAGAGTGTGATAACTTTCACTGTAGTTCTTAGCGAAATTTCCTTTCATTTCAGCGGAAAATATTTTTAAAAAAATCGCCATTAATTGAAGTTTTGAGGAATTTTCCTCTGTCAAATCAAAATTTCATGACTTGTTTTAAGTGGCACGCGCGTTCTCATCGACGGGTAGACGGGTTAAAATGAGAGTATCTGGACACATTTAAGGTGTCATGCTCTATTTGTTTCTCGGAAAAAATTGAAAAATTTATGGCAGACTATTTACCTTTTTCACAGATGCTCATCTAACCATTCGGAGGTTGAGAGAATTCGAGAAAATGACAAAAATTCTCTTACGCTCACCTAACTTTCTCGAATTTTCCCGTACCCTTGGGCTATGTTAACACGGAAATAGTCCAGCATTGTTTTATTAGAAAACAGTATTTGTTTTTACGGTATTGACGAAATGTTAGGATTAGCTGTTATGATTAGGCCATTCAACTCTGCGATTCAACAGTTTTCTCCTGATTAGTAATCAAGAAATAATTTGAAAGGGGTATTTACAGGCGCCCGTGTTTAATAATATCCTAAGTCAGACTCAATCATTTTGATAACATATCAGCGCTCGATTGGTATCCATGTCAAAACAAACCTTGTCTGAACGGAGGAACGTGTCAAGTAGAAGAAGAAGGTTTTCCAGAATGGAAGTTTCGGAGATACTTCTGTTGGTGTCCGGCTCAGTTTTTTGGACTGCACTGCGAATGGGGTATGTACTATATTCAACTTCCTTTGTTAATCTTCTTTTGTTCCGAGGTGGTTTTTATTGCTAAAATGAGGCTAAGGCTCCATCTGCTTAGAGGCGGGGACCACAAATGGATGAGGCAACCTGCAAAGCCTTAGTAGAAAACTAACCTACGTTTACCGACCTCAATTTCCGCAACCGATAAGAACTTCACCTTTAGCAGAAGGCTGTTAGAACGCGTATCTTGAGGACAACGCTTGTCTATTCCCCCTAGCTGCTTTAGCTGTAAAATTTTAGCGCTTGGCATTATAAGCTATTGTCATTTTTAACGACGGAAAACTTCTGCTAAAGGTACTTTGCTGTTCAGCAAAGTCCAAAGTAGTATGGCACTACTGTGGTTTGAAAGCGCGTGAGATCGATACGAATCGATCGAGTCAGTCAGTTCTCCATGTCTCTACGTTCTTTAACACTTCTCAGTTGAATTTCTTTATGGACGTAGATCTATTTTTGTGTCTAGAGGGATGGGGCAGGTTATTTCTCTCATCTTTAGTTATCTGCCGATTAAGAATAGTAAGTCGAAAATATCGTTAGATTATGGTGAAGGTGCTGGAATCGCGTAGGCCTCCCCTCGAAGCTTTAATCTCACCCTACATCTTTCTATCTTTTGGTTGTCTCAGTTGTTCACTAATCATATGAAAGCGATCCAAATCAGGCAAGAAATTTCCTAGAAAGGCGTGCCACCACACCACACCTTCATGTAAACTCAATTAAACTTAGCGTTTGACTCTTGGTTCCTTTGGGTAGCAATGAAAATTATCTGAACCGCATACCTCCTTGCCATAATATCTTGAAAGGAATTCTTCGTATTGCATTGGATCAGTGTCATGGCACGATCAAGATCATTTGGTCAATCAAAGGATCAAAAAAAAAGAAATGTAAAACCTGCTTATACCAGCTATTATTCTTGTGTACCTTAGATAAGTTTCCTTGTCGCCGCAACCCTTGTTTGAATGGAGGAACTTGTAGAGTTGGACCCTCAGTTCCTTGGCTGGTATACACTAACAAGCTTGCTGAGTATTGCGACTGTCCTGCTCAGTATAATGGTTTTCGTTGTCAAAGAGGTGCGTTTTCACTTGTTTACCCTAATTTTGTTTAAATGTGTAGTAATTTTATCCTGTGGCTTTTAATGGTATATCATGGACAAAAACCTGAAAACGAGGATATTTCTCAAAGTGTTTAGCATGCAGGACCTCAAAGATTTTACATAGAATCGCATGGCTTAAAGTAAACACGCGCTCTGATTGGTCAATACGTCAACCGGAAGAGAGGGTATTTAGCGTGGAATCGCACTAACGCATAAAGCGATATCGCTGAAGTGAGTCGCGAGCAGTGATTATTGTTACGAATGTAAAAACGTAAATACAACTAGTGCTATGAAAATATGAACAAATATGAACAAATTTATAGAAAACGAATGTCTTCCAAATTTTGAATTGAAATTGAAATTTTTAGAAAATTGGAGGAAACCACTCACGCTCAAAAGTACGAGAAAACGCATAGAAAAAAAATTGAAAAATCGATATCGCACTCATCGCTTCGCGATTCGTGCGATATCAGTTTTTCGCGTGAAATTTAACGTGGAATTCACTCGTCAGGCAGTGAATTTTTCTATAGAATCGTATCATTGAATAAAATCTCGCATTCTGATTGGTTATCGAAGCGAGGTATTTAGCGTGGAATTGCGAGTTGAAAACGAGGCTGATTGAAATTGTTTCGCATCTCCGTAAGCACAAAAAATCAAATTGTTACAAAGTTTGGTTTCTTAGTCAATTTAAAATGTTTTCAAAAACACTGTCGCCTTCTAGAGAGCAAAAACAAAAAAAGCGTTTTCAAAGTAAGCCTGAGGTTCTTCCTTGTTTTGAACTAAACTTCAAATTCTTGGAGAGGCATGAAAAACCTCTTTCGCTCGCGACAACCCGAAAAAGAGAAAATCCTGTGAACACGGCCCGGAAAAAACAATCTCCGAGCTAACAGGTCACGCCAACCCGAGTTCAATATCCACTTGCAGCCATAATCTTTTAAGAAAAACAACAAAGGATGTCAAGCAAGTTGGCTGGGTTTTCAGTCGTACCACTACGACTGTCACAGCTGCCAACACCAGCGACGGTCAGGGCACCAAAGCTTTGCGAGGAATTTATGCCAACAGCCTTGCACTTCCATCAGTAGTTGGCAATAACACAGCATCAATGAATAACGGCATTCATGATCTAACAGCAAGAGTTCTAGGTGGATTGTTCACCAATGTATCGTTCAACAGCTCTCCAGTGAATGTTTCCATCAACTTTCAGTCGAAAGCTCATCCCAACGACTCAGCTAATGGCAGTCGCCATTAGTGAATTTCTACAAATAAAAAGATTAAAGTTTTTGGACTTTTCATGAAACACTTCTTTGTTTTTAAAGGAAGAAAGGATCGATCAATACACGTATTTACACTTCAAGGCACTTACCTTATATTAATCGCGATGTTATTGCACTTGAAATCCGTGCTTTCACTTGCACACTTAATTTCTCTCGGTTTGCCACCAAAAAGTAAAAGGTGTAAATTATTTTCCTTCTCGAGCAAGTTATTTAGAATTTTAGAAAAAAGATGTTAACGATAAACGGTTTCTAAATTCAGTAAAATACCACTATTATCCTTAAATAGTGTGAAGCTTGTTTAAGAAGTTCGAAAATTAATGTAAAATCAACCACGAGGTGAAAATAAAATTGTCGAAGGTTCAAACGTGTACGACTAACCTTGCTTTCTATTCGCTAACATAATAATGACACTTCTGACGATTGGCTTTGAAATAGCTTTCTAGAGAGTGCGCTCGGGATAAAAACAAACAATAATATTGCCGATTTAATTTCTTGTTTTCTTATTTTCATTCAGTTATGCGACTCAAGGAAAACTCATTACCTGACTCGTGAATTCCACGTTAAATTGCACGCGAAAACAGATATCGCAGGAATCGCGAAGCGATTGGTGCGATATCGGTTTTCGCGTGCAATTTAACACGGAATTTCCTCGTCAGGTAATGAATTTTCCTATAATATCGATTTGCAGGGTTTAATTTACGTAGTTTTCATATTTTTTGTTGTTGTTGTGGCAGTTTTTTCTTTCTGTTTTTTGATTTTTTTCATTTTAAACTCTACCATTACCTCTTATGAAAATTTGAATTGGCAAGGCAAACCGCCTTTTCAGCCAATTGAAGTCGTCGGTAAAATCGAAACATTTATTTTGTACATACTGAAACTTGCACTTTGAATTACTATCGTTCGTGTTTCTGACTGGACGAACGAAGTATTTTCACAGTCGTTCGCTTCCAATCCCTGAATGTGACGGTCTTCACAGAAAAAAATCTCCGTATGTATAAAATAAAAATATCATACCGTGGAAAGTGTTTAAACAACTTTTATTAAGTCGTTGCTAGGTGTATTCCTTGGCTTGTTGTGCCTAATCACCCTGTCCTTTAGTATGTTTTAATTTAGTGATGATTAACGTACATCAGAACAGTTGCTTAAGTAATTATTGCGTTTCTCGCGCTGGAAATTGTCCAAGATTTGAATTAAGGACCAAAACTGTTCTCTCAGTATGGAACGAAAACTTTGAGCTGAAAGAGATTGGTAACGATACGCAAAAGAGATAGGTTGAGTCTCTAGTGTGTCTAACCAGCCCCTTCTCATTCAACTAAATTATTCATCCGTTTTACTCCCACACTCTTAATTAGCTAGGATCGTAAAATGTAAAAGAAAAACCCGACAACTAGTGGGCAAGTGACAGAAAACTAAAGGTGCTTTTTCCCTTTTTGGAAGTTTTACAAAGATGATATGGATTGTAAACTAATCGAAGCTGGAGAAACGTGGCAGGGAATTCGTTTAGAATAGCATTTATAAGCCCCCGCAGATTTCAGCCCAAGTACTATTCAGCGCGGTTACCGAGATGAGCAAGACAAAAGCTGTGAATTTCGTCTCGTGAACCAATCTGAAACAGGCTAGGCGGCTCGGTAAATATATTATATCAGCCGAGTTCTCGAGCAGGGCTTTAGAAAAATTACGCGATGATGAAGATATTTATTCACAAAATAGAAACGTAAAGGCCTGCTGTGAATTAGATCAGCAAGACGAACAACAGGACTGGTGTTGGGACGAAGGGCTATGCCTATGTGCTCAAGACTGAACCTATCAAGTATTCCTTCAGTCTTAGATCCATGTACCTCAATTCCTTGCCTGAATGGTGGATCATGCTCCAGTCAAAACTCCACGTATAGCTGTCGATGCATTTCTCGATATACTGGAAGAAATTGCGAGATTCAGAACAGTAAGTAATAAATAATAGCTCAAATCCATCTCTCCACAGTTTTTTTTATCTTAGGCTTAATCTCCGAACGGAGTTTGTATGATTTTTCTTTTTCGACCTCAGCTAAGTTAAATTATTTCTGAAATTGTAGATCCATGTTCACCGAACCCTTGCCAAAATGGAGGGAGATGTTACATCACTAAAAACAGGAAACATTTCTGTATTTGCAAAGCTCAATTTACTGGAAGTAATTGTGAGAGAGGTTTGTTAAAACAGAAGTGTATACTGACTCACTGTTGGCTCTTTCTCGTGTGTAATCATAAATCGTTCATACCTTAATCTAATTGATTGGTGGGATACGAAAAAAAATATCGAGTTCGCTTGCCCAAGCATCGGCGGTGCATTGTTTACTGTCTCTTTCTGTGTCTTCTTTTTCGGAAATGAGAAAGCTAATTAAATATTAGTAAATCCACGTAAAAACAGTACCTTAATATGAAGCACACCTGCTTATTACAAACCAAAACGAACAAACAAACAAACAAAATTCCAAGCCATAACTGACTCAGTGTGCCTTGACGATTGGGTTATTCCGATGAGCACCGATTACAGAATGATCTCATGTTTTGGCTCAATTGCAGCGTTTGTCGTATTTATCTTTTCAGTTGATTGCAACGTTCGTCCATGCAGGAATAGAGGAACTTGTTTAAATGTAGAACACAGACCATTCTGCTATTGTCCACTTGGAACTACAGGAAAACTTTGCGAAGACGGTACGGGTTCAAACTATAACAAAAAGTACATGTCTGATACCTTGAGTGAAGCAAAAATCCTAAGGTCTATCAGACTTGAAAAAGAAAAAGGTCTTTCCCGATAATTCGTTATCATTTCTATTAAAACAACACAATCGTTTATAGATATCGTAAGAGCGTAGTAAGACATTATCAACATCCAAACCAGTCTTTTATTTGTAGTTAGAAGCATACTAGGTAATTTTATCATCATAAATTAATTTTTAAGGGCGCAGCGAGTTGGATTCTTAGGTTGAATGAGAGCCCGCTTACCCCGTCCTTTAGTATGCTTTTACTGATAGCAAGTGATTCATCAGTACAGTTGCTCAAGTAATTATTGTGTTCAGTCTCACGCTCGAAATTGTCGAGGATTTAACTAAAGGGCCAAAACTGTCCTCTCAGTATGGAGCAAAATTTGTGAGCTGTAAGAGATTGGGAACTAACGCAAATGGAATAGGTTGGGTCTCTGGTGTGTCGATCCAGCCCCATCTCAACCTACTGCATTATTGGTCCGTTTTTCTCCCGCACTCTCAGGACCGTAAAAGGTAAAAGAAAAACTCAACAACTAATGGGCTAGTGACAGCAAACTAAAGGCGGTTTTTCTCATTGTTGAAGTTTTCATCGGCATTTATAAGTCACTGTAGATCTTAGCCCAAGTCCTGTTCAGTGCGGTTACCGAGATGAACAAGACAAGACCTTTGAAGTTTGTGTCGTAAACTGATCTGGAACCAGGCTAAGCAGTTCAGTAACTACAAGTTATTAGCCGGGCGAGAAGAATCCAAATTTGCAACAGGCTATGCCCTACTTCTTGAGTTTTTGGCTTCAGAAAAACTAGGCCGTAATGAAGATGTTTAACCACTAAATGGAAACGTAGAGGCCTGGGAATTAGATTAGGGGCTATGCCTATGGGCTTGAGACTGAACCTATCAAGTGTTCCTTCAGTTTTAGATCCATGTACCTCAAGTCCTTGCCTGAATGGTGGATCATGCTCCAGTCAAAACTCTGAGTATAGCTGTCGCTGCATTCCTCAATATACTGGAAAGAATTGCGAGATTCAAAAGGGTCAGTAATGAAAGTAATACCTAAGATACATCCATTTCATGGTTTTTTTTATCTTGGGCCTGATCGTCTCTGAACGAATTTTGTATGATTTTCATCATTTCAGATTCCGGCTGAGTTTTGAATTATTTCTCAAGTTTTAGATCCATGTTCACCTAACCCCTGCCAAAATGGAGGGAGATGTTACAACATTGGAAACAAAAAGCATTACTGTTTTTGCAAAGTCCAATTTATTGGAGGCAATTGTGAGAGAGGTTTGTTAAAGAGGGTTGTATACAGAGACACTGCCGGATCGTGCTTGTGTCTAATCACAAATCTATAAAACCTTAATCTAATTGATCTCGTAGGATACAAATGAAAAACATTTCGACTTCGCCTGTACAGGCATATCGAAATTTTTTTTCTTTCTCTTGTTGAGTCTTCTTTTTCTGAAATGAGAAAGCTAACCGAATAATGGGAAATTCACGCGAACCTATTATGTTGCAATGAAACACCTGCCTGTTAAAAAAACAAACAAACAAAACGAGCTAAAACAAATGTGCCATTAAACGTATTGCGCCTTGACGATTGGATAACACCGATGAGTAGTTATACCCAAACAAAAATCATGTTTTGGATTCATTTAACCGTTGTCCATTTTTCTTTTCAGTTAATTGTAACAACCGTCCATGCAGGAATAGAGGAACTTGTTTAAATGTAGGTAACAGGTCATTCTGCAGGTGTCCAGCTGGAATTACAGGAAAGCTTTGCGAAGGTGGTAAGGTTCTATCTCCAACAAAAAGTACAAGAATAAATTGATTGTGATAACGAAAAAATGCTTAGATCTATTCAGACTTACAAAAGAAAAAGAATTTCCTGATTCACCTGTTTTTCGTTTTGAAGTCATGTTGTTATTTGAAAAAACTTTGTTAAGATTTTTAATCAATAAACCTGTCCTTCAAAGGTATTCAGAAGCATACTTAGTTATTTTACTATCATCAGAATTTCTTACCATCTGATTTAAAAGGCGAGGAATATAATGAATGAGTGGATTTCACATACGCTTTCACGCTAGTTTCTAACTAGCGCATCAGGAGTTTATTAGGGAGTGGAAAGGGAAGCAAGAATAGTATGAGGCCAAGCATTATGGTTACCAGTTTAAATTTGATTTACAACATGGAACAATGAGGAACAATGATAGAGGAAAGAAACTGGATTGCCGTACTTGGCAAAAATACAAATGCGTAAATGCGTACATTCAATAAAAAACGTTAATTTCGTAAAAAAAAGGTATGCTTGTTCATAGCGGTGCAGTACAAAAATAACTCCATACTGAACCCGACTGCTTTCTGGTCTTCTTATAAAGCAGGATACTTCGCTCTGATTGGTTGGTTTCCACAGCTGTGATCGGCGCGTCTTGATCTTCGATGCTATTGAGTTATTTTTTCCTCGGTGGTCCGCTCTCGAACGGCTTTCCTATTGTTGTGTTTTTTGATTATGGGCATCTACGCTTAGGGAATTTCTATCCAGCTGTCCCTATTGATGTTGTTAGGGTGAAGTCTTATGTGAATAGCTCCTTTGACCCTACGAGTGTACCAGTGAGGATTACGATCAATAAACTTAACCTCCTTCCAAAGCGATTGGTTGTCTTTAGGTTTTGAACGTCCAGTAAATTTTACAGAGACATGATTTAACCAGTGATTCGAAATACATTTGGTGTCGTCCTGTGTATTGGTAACTTGTGTTACTTACTTGCTGGATCATTTTACAGAAATCCCGGTCATTACCAAGAATCCCCAAGATTCGACCGCAATGGAGGGCGGGAGTGTAACGTTTTGTTGCGAGGCAAAAGGGAAGCCTGTTCCTGTGTATAGCTGGTATGTCAAAAGCTTAGCATAAAAGAATCACTTCATGATCGAGATCAGAGTGTCTTGCAAAAATTTAACATAAACTTTTTCATGCGCGTCATTTACAATTTGTTAGAATCTTCGTTTGTTGGTTTCACTTTTAACCTTCAGGGAAACTAGAAGGAAACATATGATTGATATGATAGCTGTAAAAATAAAATAAAAATTGGAAGTAAATGGGAGAAAAATATAAGACAAATCGACAAGAATGCAATAGCCAAGGGCCCGTTTCTTAAAAGTTCCAGTAACCCTAACCCGGAGCCATATTTTAGGACCAAAATCTAAAGGAAATAAGAAAGCAGGTTCTGGCGCCCTAACCAGCCTATTTTGTTTCTTTAGCTGATAGTTTTATTGTATAGCTCACAAAGCTTTTAAAACCCCTCACTGGAATGAAAAATAGAACAGCTATACGTGCCCGTTAGGTTACTGAGACCTTCGAGAAACGAGCCCCAGCAGGTCCTGTGTCACGCCACGCTAAATTCGGAGGTCCAAGAACTCAACATTTTCGCAAGGGATATTAATAACCTGAAGTCGATTTTTATAAACCTCTTTTGGTGATCCTGTTTTTCAGATAAAAAATTGTTCACGCTAGATTTTTTAACGGTATTTCAGACATACCGCCTGCCCTCAGCAACCCGTAAATGGCTACTGTGCAGTTATGTTGTAAAAAAGTTTAGAATTTATTTTAAGGCTTCGCTACCGTTGTTTTATCTTCCTACTCTGATGAACACTTTGAATACTCTCAAACAGCATTGCCAAAAGAGGTTTAAGGAGTTAGTCATCGAAAAAAAAAAAAAAAAACATGTATCATTTTTATTGCTATAGTTATCACTAGTTTAATTTTATTTTTATCTTCTCTTTGAGGTTTCACAACGGTGTACTGGTACAAGAGCTGATCAGCAGAAACCTTCGTCTGTCTAGTATATCTTCACGTGATTCTGGCACATACAAATGTAGCGCCAAAAATGAACACGGGGAAACAGTTTCCAGCAAAGCAGAGCTGACAGTTGTTCCGGGTAAGAAATAACATCCATTTTTCAGACGCATTTTTTAGCTTATGGCTCAAATAATTTGAAAACTAACCCGGTGACCCCGTGATTTTTCTTAGTGATTGCTTCCGACACTTGAAAAGGAAAATGCACAAAGATTTTAAAAAAATTCTACGGAGCGGAATTTCAGAAAATCTCAGAAATTTTCACGCATCGCAAATGTCCTTCCGTAGAATTTCTATTTTTTTTTTTTTTCTGACGATTCCTTTCAACGTTATTATCATATTGGAACAATAAAAAGAAGGGGTTACCGGACTTGTTTTCATGCATTAGCTTTCGTGAGTTTAGCAATTTCCACACGCGTTCTCGCGCATTTAAAAATCTGGATTCTATAAGATCAACATTTGCTCATGATCTGTTCTAGCTACCGCTGACTATCGCGTGTGTTCGCGCGAGCACCTACGATCTGGATGTTTACAAACGTTTGCTGCTTAGTTAAATCATTCAATAGCCGTCAAAGACGGCCTCTCGGGCTCATCTTAAAGGACCTACTCAGAACTTATGGTTATATTGTCTTACTTTNAAACTAGAAACATACAATTTCAGGTAATCGCCAAGACTCATGCCACCCCACCCCACTGACGAGAGTTGTGTCATTACCTGAAGGATGCACAGAAGATAGCAGCGGGAGGAACAGCGTCAATGTTGGTACTTGTTCTAACGAAGCATGCGTGAAGCGTAACCAACGGCATGCCGGGAGGTGTGGGGGACACGACTCCAATCGGCAATGTTGTAGCGCTGCTTCTATGTCTAACAGCCGCGTTAGTTGCAAAAGCGGTATAAAGTTCAACATTCAGAAAGTCTCCAAGTGTGCATGTGCAGACTGTGCTGTCTCAAAAATTGTTGTTCGAGGCAAGGTTGTCGATCCTGAGGGAAGTCCCCTTTGGCGGGGCGAGATGACCTTGAGCACTGACGCTGGTAAAAGATACTATACGGACAGGCAAGGGAATTTTAAGATTCTGGTCAGGTCAGGAACGAAGCGAATAGTATTGACTGTAAAAGACAAGTTTCAAGGACTGCTGGAAGACACAACGAAAGTTTTCGAACTTCAGGAAGGGCAAGTGTCCTTTTATACCATCGTTCTTCAAAAGAAACCGCCTGCGATTAAATTCCCAGCAAACAAGAAAAAGAACATTCCTCTTGGACCTATTGTTGTGTTTTTTGATTATGGGCATCTACGCTTAGGGAATTTCTATCCAGCTGTCCCTATTGATGTTGTTAGGGTGAAGTCTTATGTGAATAGCTCCTTTGACCCTACGAGTGTACCAGTGAGGATTACGATCAATAAACTTAACCTCCTTCCAAAGCGATTGGTTGTCTTTAGGTTTTGAACGTCCAGTAAATTTTACAGAGACATGATTTAACCAGTGATTCGAAATACATTTGGTGTCGTCCTGTGTATTGGTAACTTGTGTTACTTACTTGCTGGATCATTTTACAGAAATCCCGGTCATTACCAAGAATCCCCAAGATTCGACCGCAATGGAGGGCGGGAGTGTAACGTTTTGTTGCGAGGCAAAAGGGAAGCCTGTTCCTGTGTATAGCTGGTATGTCAAAAGCTTAGCATAAAAGAATCACTTCATGATCGAGATCAGAGTGTCTTGCAAAAATTTAACATAAACTTTTTCATGCGCGTCATTTACAATTTGTTAGAATCTTCGTTTGTTGGTTTCACTTTTAACCTTCAGGGAAACTAGAAGGAAACATATGATTGATATGATAGCTGTAAAAATAAAATAAAAATTGGAAGTAAATGGGAGAAAAATATAAGACAAATCGACAAGAATGCAATAGCCAAGGGCCCGTTTCTTAAAAGTTCCAGTAACCCTAACCCGGAGCCATATTTTAGGACCAAAATCTAAAGGAAATAAGAAAGCAGGTTCTGGCGCCCTAACCAGCCTATTTTGTTTCTTTAGCTGATAGTTTTATTGTATAGCTCACAAAGCTTTTAAAACCCCTCACTGGAATGAAAAATAGAACAGCTATACGTGCCCGTTAGGTTACTGAGACCTTCGAGAAACGAGCCCCAGCAGGTCCTGTGTCACGCCACGCTAAATTCGGAGGTCCAAGAACTCAACATTTTCGCAAGGGATATTAATAACCTGAAGTCGATTTTTATAAACCTCTTTTGGTGATCCTGTTTTTCAGATAAAAAATTGTTCACGCTAGATTTTTTAACGGTATTTCAGACATACCGCCTGCCCTCAGCAACCCGTAAATGGCTACTGTGCAGTTATGTTGTAAAAAAGTTTAGAATTTATTTTAAGGCTTCGCTACCGTTGTTTTATCTTCCTACTCTGATGAACACTTTGAATACTCTCAAACAGCATTGCCAAAAGAGGTTTAAGGAGTTAGTCATCGAAAAAAAAAAAAAAAAACATGTATCATTTTTATTGCTATAGTTATCACTAGTTTAATTTTATTTTTATCTTCTCTTTGAGGTTTCACAACGGTGTACTGGTACAAGAGCTGATCAGCAGAAACCTTCGTCTGTCTAGTATATCTTCACGTGATTCTGGCACATACAAATGTAGCGCCAAAAATGAACACGGGGAAACAGTTTCCAGCAAAGCAGAGCTGACAGTTGTTCCGGGTAAGAAATAACATCCATTTTTCAGACGCATTTTTTAGCTTATGGCTCAAATAATTTGAAAACTAACCCGGTGACCCCGTGATTTTTCTTAGTGATTGCTTCCGACACTTGAAAAGGAAAATGCACAAAGATTTTAAAAAAATTCTACGGAGCGGAATTTCAGAAAATCTCAGAAATTTTCACGCATCGCAAATGTCCTTCCGTAGAATTTCTATTTTTTTTTTTTTTCTGACGATTCCTTTCAACGTTATTATCATATTGGAACAATAAAAAGAAGGGGTTACCGGACTTGTTTTCATGCATTAGCTTTCGTGAGTTTAGCAATTTCCACACGCGTTCTCGCGCATTTAAAAATCTGGATTCTATAAGATCAACATTTGCTCATGATCTGTTCTAGCTACCGCTGACTATCGCGTGTGTTCGCGCGAGCACCTACGATCTGGATGTTTACAAACGTTTGCTGCTTAGTTAAATCATTCAATAGCCGTCAAAGACGGCCTCTCGGGCTCATCTTAAAGGACCTACTCAGAACTTATGGTTATATTGTCTTACTTTCCTTGAAGTTTCACAGTCTTCTTCTACTTCAGCCAGATTATCCTTCACTTGAATTCTCCTTTTATGGCTCTCGCAAGATTTCATATCGGTTGGATATTTCGTTTAGATGTGAAATAACCTTCATGTCTCCGAGAATCATCTTCTTTATCTTCGTTTCTGTCTCCCGCATACGCAGTGGCCGTTCAACACATCAAATACACACTGTTAGGTAAACTTCTTACAAAAGTAGAAAAAAGCCTCGTGCCGCCATCTTTGTTTTGAATTTTCGTCTTTTAATCTCGCGCTTCTTTCGCCCGTTTCTCTCGCGTATGACGCAAGAGTGACCTGTTTCCCGCGCGAGGAAACTATTAATAGCCACCTTAAAACTGATTTGACTTTAAACCAATAGGAAAGCTTTCCCGACATATATGAATGTTTCAGGTGATCGCGACGATTCGTGTAACCCCAGCCCTACAAAAAAGGTGATGTTATTGCCTGAAGGATGTACAGAAGATAGCAGTGGAAGTAACCTTATCAATGTTGGTACTTGCTCCAGTGAAGTATGTGTGAAGCGTAACCAGCGCCAAGCTAGAAGCTGTAGAGGACAGGACTCCACTCGGCAATGCTGTAGCCCAGCTTCTATGTCTGACAGCCGCGTGAGTTGCAAAAGCGGTATAAAGTTCAACATACGGATAGTCTCCAAATGTGCATGTGCAGACTGTGCTGTCTCAAAAATAAATTTTCGAGGCAAAATTGTCGATCCTGAGGGAAATCCACTCCAGTGGGGCGAAATGACTGTAAGCAATGACCAAGGTAACAAATACTATACGGACAGGCGAGGAAATTTCAATATTCTGGTCAAGTCTGGAACCAAGCGAATCGTATTGACTGTGAAGGACAAACTGCAAGGACTGTTGCAAGACACAACGAAAGTTTTCGAGGTTCATGAGGAGCAAGTGTCCTTTTACACTATCGTCCTTCAAAAGAAACCACCTGCCATTAAATTCCCAGCAAACAAGAAAAAGAACATTCCTCTTGGAGGATCTGCAGGTAGACCAAAGTTTGTCGATCTGGACATCCCTGCAAATGCCTTCCTCACGGCTGATGGAAGAGTATATAATGGTGAGATCACTGCAACAATTGGGGTGATTGATCCTAGAAGCCAGGCAGACATGATGGCAGCCCCTGGGGATTTTTCAGCGATAAACGACAACGGAGAAGAGGTGACCCTCGGATCTGTTGGAATGCTGAGACAAGCTTTCACGGACAATAACGGCAACCAGCTCAGTCTTAGTAAAAACATCTCAGTCCGCATCGACGCTGAACAGTTAGATATACCCAATGGTGTCACAGTTCATCAATGGTACCTGAGCAAGGAAACGGGTCGCTGGGTGAAGATCGAAGAATTGCGCCCTAAGTACGGCAGTGGATCGAGGCTTAGAAGACAAGCGAGGAAGTACTTTGTAACCAACATAACACCGAATGTTCCTTATGACAACATTAACTGGGATTACGTTTCTGTTGCCAGTTACGTCCGAATTAGGGCTACCCCTGGCACAGTTGTGACTCGCATTGGTTTGAGCAACAATGGGCTACAATATACCTCCTACCGCCAAGGTACAGTCCCTGCCAGTGGAATCCTATGCATTCTAAGTCTACGAAACAGACAGGCCATCTTGCAAGCCGAACGCGATGGAGTACCTCTTATTCCTCGACAGCCTATTGGCTTCCCTCTGGCCGTAAACCCTCAGATCATCGATAGGTCACCCGTCGGGACCATTTTCAAGATCCAGTCGTTTAGATTCACCTCCACAAAAGTGGATAATCGAGGTCCAATATATCTCAAAGGCGAGCAAGGTAGATGTGCACAAAGTGGTGCAAATGATGTTGCTTTTGAATTTCAAGATGCCGCTCCTGGGCAACTATTTCACTGGCAAAGTGTTAGAATACAAGATCCTAACGATTCTCGTAGGTGGCGTGTAAGACCTAATGAGATTTGTTACGTCAAAGCGCTTGTTACAGGATCAAATCCAGACTCAGTTATATACGTAAGAAGCATTGGAAAGGCTCCTGGTCAACCCGACTTGGATTACGGTTACACAGCCGAGAAGAGTTCTATAATTGGTGGGCAAGGTGTGGTGTGCTTGGAATACCGATGCAATGAAGGTCCACTAGTTCCGTATCAGACCCACTTGCAATTCCTTACTCTGACAGGAACATGCACAGTCCAGAGTCTCAACAATGTTTTGGTCGGTTTACAAAATCGGTGTTCTGTATCCCCAGCCGGTTCCTCAAGTCAAGAGCGCAACTTCTGTGTTCCAGACTTGGTAGGAGGTGCCGCTGCACTGTACTCTGGCTCTACAGGTGTGGCTAAGAACAGATGCCTCACAGGAAACCAGCTGTACAACTCAGGAAGACCGACTACCACAAACCGCAGCCCTACAGTGACATTTACCTGTAGGTAGGTGAAGGGGTAGATTGAGCGGCCAGACTAAAAAGCGTCTACATAAGAGGGCAGTCCGATGATATGGGATTTCATTTAGGTGGAGCAAGAGAACAAAATTCCCCAAGCAATCCCTACACGGGTATCTTCGAGTTTCGCTACAAAATATGAACTTCAGCGAAACTTTAATTTTTCACCTTAATCAAAAATTAATGACCTAATTTAAGACAAGAATTAATACTTTTAAAAAAAGACAATAAATAGCATCCAGAAATCCATAGATTTCAATGTAATAAGTTCCTCACTCTCCAACTTTGAAAATCGTGATTAGCTCTGGCAAATATGGGTCATTACGCGTACTCAACGTTGTTGTTGTTTTTTCTAATTTCAGCTAAGCCTGAGTACGCGTTGGACAAGCGGAAAGATAGATGAATAGCATAAAGGAAAACTACGAACCTTGTTATGATCTGTTGACGATTGAAAAAAGATGAAACTGAATGAAACTGTTTGTCTAGATAGGCCGAGATAATTAAAAAGTTAGTGAAATAACTTAACAAAATGTTACTTTACAAATTTGCTGATAAACGATGATTTGGAATTTAAAAAAATGGCTTATAACTTGAAATAATGCTCACCGATGTCTTTTTGTTGTTTGATTCGGGTTTTCTTCGCTCTGCAGAACAGAGCCATTCACATCCCTTTTTTTTTTTTTTTTTTACAGTTTGAATTATTATATCTCACTGCTAAGCCCGGAGGTCAGTCACTGAGACAGCCTCAGTCCCAAAACTTTTCGAAGCCACGGTCAATACCACTAATACTCCGATCTGTTACACTTCTTTCTCCGTCGGTATGGTAGTGGCTTTGTACGATTGCCGAGTCTGATCTGAGTGTCACTACATAATTAAAGGTGCTTCAGCCCCCCCTCCCTCACCAACCATTCTGATTAGCCAACTTCTACTCTCCCGGTACTTGATGGGTTTGCGTAACTATCTATAAAAGGCTCCCAACCCCCTTGTGTTTGAATCGGACTATGTTATAATGGAAGAAGTCCTCTATCGCTTCAATACGCACGGCCTTGCGTATGTAAAATGATGCAGGTAAACCTCAGCTGTTCATAGAGTTCCCGTCCATTTTAGCAGCGAGGTTCCAAAATTCTCAAGACTATTTTCCGATACATCCTGATTGGAATATATCTTTTACATCTCAAAATTTAAAGGCCATATGCTAAATCATACTCCATTTAAAAACAATGAACGCGTAGCTCTTTTAAACGACGAAATAAGTTTTGGAGTGAACGATACTTCATTTTCAAACTCGATTAGAATTAAAGTTTAGCATTTGTTTTAACAACGCTTTGGTCGACTGAAAAATCTAGCGCGGGAGTCTGAGTCACTTAATTATGATGAAACCCGAAATTCATCCCCTTTGGTCACGTCTACTGGAATCCGTTGTTGGAAAGAACACAAAACAAAGGAACATTACCATCACAAGTTCGTGCAGCTGCTTGATCAAAGGGGATTACTTTGGGAATTCCGCTCCCGTGATCACTTCCCTGAACAAAATTTAATTATGCAGAGATCGATCTAATGAATCATCTTGTAAATACCGTGGATAATTTACTAGACAAACATCCACAAACAGTTGTGTTGTGCGGTGGCGATGTCAACAAACTGGATATCAAACGCTTCGAAGAAATGTCTGGTTGGAATGCTCTGGTTAATTTCCCCACCAGAGGGAATTCTTGTTTGGACAACTGTTTCACGAACCGCACGGATCTCTTTTCAAAGTGCTATCCCTTTCACATGCTCTCCAAGACGGATCACATGGGAGTTATTTTACCACCCGGTATAAAGCTTCCACCTATCCGCCGTAAAGTATACGTGCGTGACCAAAGGGCTCATAGAAAGCGTGATCTGTATATCGCGTTAGCGAAGGAAAACTGGGATGATATGATACAGGAAACTGATGTCGATGAAGTGGTTGGTAGGCTCGAAAATACCATCCTAGGGCACCTGGATAGCTGCATGCCTCTGAAAACGGTGCGCATGTCTTCAAGAGACCCGGGCTGGATGACTCCGCTCGTTCGATCGATGATACGAGCCAAATCACGCATATCACTCAGTAATCAAGACCGTCTTAAAGTTAT